TGATCTGAGGTGCTGAGTTGAGGTGCTCAGCTCGCTTGCAGCGGCGTCCCGCTCGACGACAATGCACATTGCGACGGTGATGTCGAAGGTTGTGCATCTGCTCCAAGGAAAGACGGGTTTGAAAGAGTTGCTACGGTACGTGCACATTCGGTATGTAATCCTGATGAGAGTGCATATGGCCGGTGGTCATGAAGCACCACACTTAATTAGCCGACCCTTTCCTCCATTGTCCGATCGGGGCGATCTCGGCTGCTTCCATTGTCCATTTGTTCGCTTGCTGTGGACGGCAGAGCCCGTTTAGCGCCCAACCGCCCCACCCGCCGCGGCCTTGCCCCAGAGAATGCGGCGCAGCCGCCACCGGCCGGCACTGCCTGCCCAAATTCAAACGCCGGCCGGCCGCTGGCCAGGTGCGTGACGTCACCGCCCGTCTGTGACGTCACGCAAGCCGGGTAATTGGGGATCGGCGGCAGCGATGGCGGCGGCCCGGACGGGTGTGCCCGCACCGGGCTGGACGCTGCCGGAACGCGTCGGAGGAGGCCCTGCGCGACGCGTGCGCCCCCTGCCGGTCAGGTGCGCCCGCGGCCCGGCGCCATATGACCGCGGGTGCGTCAAGGAAGTGTTCGATTAATTCGCGACGCTGGGTATGTCGTGTTCTCGTGTTAAGTTTCTGCTATCCTGCCATTTTAGCCGTACGCAGAGAACCGGGCAGTTAACGTTTTACGTAGCGTTGTGAATTTTGATGGTAGGATTCGCAGAACTTTTAAAGCGTGCTAGATAGATTGTTCTGTGACAGCAGCGGTGAAAGACACAAACTGTTGGAAAACTCATTGCATGTATCTGTATTTTTATATCTGAAGTCAAGTAACTATGGAGTTGGCTTGCCATGCTGCGGAAAGGGCAGGTCTTCTTAAGCCAGCTGTAGTCGAGAATATCCAGCCGCAGACTATGCTCTAGGCGAACGATTAAAACAATCCCGTCACGTGACCTTCGTAGTTTTTCCGTCCTGCGCACCCGAGAGCCCTCACACAGCATGTCAGTCACACAGCATTTCGGTCATGCGGCACGTCAGTCCGTGTGGCGGCACGCGCTCGTCACCGGGCGCCGTTGCCTTGATGGCGGCCGGCCGCCGGGGGGCGTGCAATTAACTCGTCGAGCGCCGGACGCGCATGTCGCCGGCGACAGCAGGGCGGACCGCTTGATCAATACCACCTCATGCTGAGCGGCCGCGGACGGAGTGCGGCCGCGGAGCCGTCCGGCCGGCGGGGGTGCCCGGTGCTGGAGGCAGAGCTGCGCCCGTCGAACAAAGCCGTCGCCGGCGCGGCCAGAGCGCGTCCGCCCGGCCCGTGACCGAGCCGGGCACGCCGCGCGCGCCGACCGTGACCCCACAGGATGTCCTCATTGTTCACCTGGCGACCACCGTCGCCGCCGTGACATACGGCCGCCGGCCGCGGTTCACTGCCGCGGCCGTCTGAACACGAACGAACGGCAGCAGGTGTCGAGTAAGCTGTTACCTGGCTGGCGGGTATTCTTGGATTTAGTTTGCGCTGCGTGAAACGATGGTATTGCTGCACCTGGACAGCGCGATTGTAGCTTTTTGCCTAGACTTCTACCCGCAACGCGATAAGAATATTGGGCGAACACAGTGTTTGTTCTGCAGGACGTCCCACATGATGTTTCGCCGGGCCCTTTCAGCTCCTGCCCGGTCCCGGCCCCTGCCCCAGCCCCGGTCCAAATCCCGGCCCCGTCCCGGTCGGAGCCGCCGCTGGCGCCAACTGGCGGCCGGATCCCGCGCGCGTCCGGCCGTCCCGAGGCCTGGGAGCCGGTGGCCGCCGCTTCCGGCCGGCGGCGCGCGTCCTGCGCGGCCGGCGGCGATGACGCCCCGCCGCCGTCCGGCTGGACGCGGCAGGGCCCGGCCGGCCGGCTGCGGACGCCCGTTCTTGCGTGAACGGTAAGGCCGCTGCGGGGCAATTTGCCCGTGGGAGGAGGCGCCGCGGTCGAAAGCGGCGCGCCGGCTCCCACCGGCGCTGGCAAGCGCAGTCGGCTGATTGATACGTCACCGCCGGTCGCGCCGGGAGTGATGCGTGACCTGGGTGCGGAGACGGTCGGCGGTGAAGTGGAATGTGGACAGCATCGACTCATGAGCACCACTCCGTTTCAAGACGGATGATGACTGATGGATTCCGGTTACTGCTTGTAGCCTACGGACCAGAACTCCGGCTGTTGGCAAACCTCGCTCCTGGCGTCACCAAACTTTAAGGGGGTGCTGGCGCTGTGCAGATCTGACTGTTGACAAACTAGTTCGCTTTTAATTCTTAGTTGCCTAATATGACGTTCGAAAGCCATTGTGTACTGAACAAGCGGAAGGTTCGTCCTTGGTGTGGCCAGACAAACAACACTCAGTCTGCTAGCCTTCAGCACTAGATCAATACTGTCTGCGCTGGTGCGCAATCATCCTCACTCACCGCGGCTTGTAAACATGCCTGGAAAATAGACTACCGCCGCTTCACCTGTTTATCACCGAAGCCTATATTGCCCGACCACACCAGAGCGAACCACCGTGTTCGGATGCAGGACCGAGCGAGCTGGAAGGTTGGCTGGCCTCTGCCCGGTCAGTTGAGTGACCTCGCCAGCAGCGCTGAGATATGTGCGGGTCCGTGACCCGACAGCGTGCCCGTGACCCTGTCAGTCATCTCCTGACGGCGCGCAGGCCGACAGCCGACGCGTGCGTGACTCAGATGTCCGCTTTTAGCGGTTCGGCGTGCTGTGCGCCGGCGCTCGGCGGACTGAGTCAGCGGCCGCCGTCAGTGACGCGGCGGGCCTGCCGTAATTGCATGAGGTTTCCTCGCGCGGCCATTACCGGTGGGAGGCTCCCAGGGACCGGCGCCGGCCAGCCGGCCGGCGCGCCGCCATAATAGCCAACGCCCAGGGGTGCTGGCTCCGCACCGGCCGGCACCGCTGTGGTGGCGCCACTTGTCCTGGTGCCGGGCGGTGCTGGATGGGTCAGGACTGAGCCGCTGCGTGGAGACGCCGCCGGTGCTGGGTGCTGGATGAGCGCCTGGCGTCTCAGACGTACCCCTCTGTTGGGGGGAGGGGGGCCGCGGGTCGCCGTCACAGACCCGGGCTGATGGAGGGAGCGGTGGCAGCCGCGCGTACGTCTCTGGGTGCGCCCATGTCCGGCTGCCAGCGTCGGCGCGAGCGTCCCCTCCAGTCTGAATTCACAGTCGCGCGCAGTCCCCTCCACACTCACGTGGGCCGCCCGCAAAATCAATAGCGGTCGCTGGGCGAAGCGCCAGGGACATGGCGTCGGACGACGAGGCGCGAGCGGCGCCGGCCACGTCGACACCGACTTGCGCTGGTTTGCAGGAAAGCCCGACGAATAAGACTTCGGGATTGCGGCGCCATATCCGCCCGCACCGTCTGAAAGACCACCCAGCTGCAGGGCGGGAGGTGGTAACGAGTGGACATAGGATGACTGCTGGGCCCGCCGCCGGTGTCGGGCGCAGCGTTTTGGCCCCTACGCGCAAGTGCGACGCGTCGCCGGAACCGACGCCCATCGATTTCGACGAGCGATGACTGTGCGCGCCTTTGAGGGGGGTGTGCCGGCCGGCTGAACCACGCCCGCTGCGCCGGCGGCGACGCCTCGCGACACGGCGCCGCCCGCGCGACGCCGCTCGCCCCCGGTGACTGCCGGCTGGCTGACCGGCCGCCACAGCGACCCGAGCCCGTTGCGACACTACCGCTCGCTCTCGCTTCACACTCAAGCGAGTCGAATAGGGTGCTTTTGGTTATGGCTGTGGTTTATTTGTGCACGTTTCACGGAGTATGGGAGCCCAGTGTGGTCGCAACACCTGGCTGGAAGCTCTAGGCGGCCA